AGACAATGGTTAGTAAACACACTGGAGTGAATGAAGGGATTAGGTATTAAATGACAGGATGTGCTTAAAGAGGGGCAGGTGGTGGTTGAGGAAGGGCCTGCTAAGCCTCTGCAGGGATGGCACATCATGCATCTCCCTAATTTCTCAATTCCTCTCATCTTCATGCTCCGTCTCAATTGCTCTCGATCTTCCGCACTTGTCCTCAGTTAGCTCATCTCTTCCTGTTCAGTTCCCTCGCTTTCTATCTCTTCTCCCCGCTCTCTATCTCCATTGTCCTCTTGGACACAACCAGAGAAGCCGACTCTTTAACTCTGGCCTCAGACGATTGACATTCATGAGGGTGGACATTCCGGTCCAACCTCATTCATATGTACAGTAAGCAAAGGGACAAAAGCCACCTCACACACTATAGAGCCCATCCCCCGTGTAAAGGGAGGCAGAGGAGCTGGGTGAATCTCAGTTGTATCACTACTTTATTGCAATGTAAATGTAATACACTTTGTAATTTTGCAGTTAAAAAAATAGCATGTCATTTTAAGCCCTGTTTGAAGTCACGAACAACTTCATATGTTTCTTTGAGTAAATGTGGATATTTAACATGCCAAACCGAGAGAAGCATGGCCACCTCTGTGTTTCCAGTGCATTGTGGGTAGGAGTGGAAAGCTCCTCTCATCGGGGTGGTAGAGTTCCTGAGCTCCCACTTGTCAACATAATATATCCTCATTTTATATATGAGGCCCGGGCAGCACCCTCTCTCCAGTTTTCACATCAGGGAAGCAACACAGCTTCAAGAAGTCATGTAGACATTTTTCTTTACTACAGGGTGAAGATACACAGACAATGAACTGAAGGCCATTATAAGATAGGCAGTGTTATTCTTAATGTAAATACAAGAAAAACTGAGTAATACATAGACTGAGGAAAAGAGAAAACACAGACAGCTTGATGGGGTATTATGTGTTTTGCGCATGGAGGCAGACTGGGAAGGGTGTGTGTGTTTTGGGATTACCTCATGCACACGTAAAATGAGAACCCCTCCCCCAACTGTGACCTAAAGTGAACCAAGTAAAAGTTTAATCAACACCTGTCTGCGGCACACCCTTTGTTATTTGAACTCCTTTTTCTGCTTTCACTTTCTCACATGTTCTTCTTTATTATAGATGTGGAATTTACACAAAATTGGTAAATCTACTGACAATTACTGGATTTAATATTTTTTTAATTACCTTAGAGATGTGAATAAAATGTTGGTCAATCAATTAAGATGCGTGTTAGCAGAGAAAGAGTAGAGTAAGGTGAACTTAATTAGATCAATGTCCAAAGCAGCTCAGAGGCATGTGTTCTCTGCATTAACTCACTGTTTACCTGTCCAAGTACTTAAATTAGTTTGGTACGACACTTCCACCTATTTATATCTCACTGGATCGTGTGAGGAAAGCTGTGTGAACTATCAGAACCATGACTGCTTAGACACCCTATTTTTACATTTCACTTTCAGTATCCAGACTGTTGTGTAATCAATAAAAATACAACTCTCTTCATGGATCTCTAGCCATGTCAAAAGGTCACCACGGCTCAGTCTTTGTTAAGGTTAAAACGCCTCAATTACAGCCTTTTATCTGCGGTTGTGGTGTCAGCTGAAATTGTGGGATCCTGATTAGATGCGAGTCGTTGGCCCATGTGTTCTCCTTTATTTGATGCCAAAGTCAGAGCACTTCTGTGTAATCAGATCCCACACGACATCTGTAGTCCTCCAGTAAGACTTGACAGACATCCATAGGGAGTATGTTCATGAACGCCCCACACTGTAGTCAATTTTACACCCTATAAAATATCATAACCGAATGCTTTTCGCAGGTGTGCACCTGTTCACCTGCTGCTTCAAATTCGCCCCCCAAGAGGTTCCAGTCCCTAGCTGAATTAGCTTTATCCATCATCCAATTACTTTATGTAGGCGTTAGGGACCTTATTCTGCAAAATAAAAATATAATAAACAATGCATTTGATTTTTCTTAAATAAAATATGTATTCATAATTATGTACATTGGATTTATACATGGCTGTCTTTGTCAGAAGAAAATGTAAATATCCGAGTTCAGCAACAATTGTGAGAACATTTGTATTGCATCTATAAAGAGAGGAGTCTAATAATAATAATACCTTTAAAAGGAGCAGAGGACTTGGCCAAATTCCCTATTAAACCATTACAGCAACTTATCACAGTGGCAATCTAAAATTATGAATAAAGTAGCCTATCAGTTATAAAACATGTGTTACATTTATAGTTTCATTGTCATTGTGTGTGTTGTACTCTTACCTATCCTCTTAATTGTTTCATTGTCACTGATGTTGCTACAATGACACCTACATTTCCCTACATGGTGTTAATAAAGCTTTATTTTATCTAATCTAATCTTATCGTTAATTAACCCGTCTGCCCTTGATCTAGGGTGGGTGGCAATGGTAGGAGCCAAGATATGCAGCAATTAAGCCTTTCCTATAATATACTGGATCAATGTATTGATTTTGAAAGATATAAACTGTATCAGAAAGTGTTGCTGGACAGGTGGACTCACTTTCTTACAACAAGCTCAAACAACCAGTCAAAGGGAAGCAAATAGCAGAAATGTTGAACACAAAAAAGACAAAACCAGAGACAGCGCGGGTACAAAAAAGGCCCCTGACCCCTCTATTGTGGGGAGAGGTGCCCTCAGAGATGAGCCAGCCCTACAGCTGCAAAGGTCACCCAGCGCCCAAGGTCAAGCCGACAGGGTCCAGCTATACTCAACATCAAAGACAAGTCCAGCGCCTGTCATGATCACTCTGAGCCGGGTCGAAAACAGCAGCACTAATCCCACCAACCACTCTTTCTCAAAGGACAGGGGTCAGCTGGTTGTACAAATCCTAATAGGTTGATTCAATTGTAACTCTCTAAACCCAAAATGCTATCTTTGATGTGTGTGCCCTCGAGACCTGTCTCGTGTTTTGATGAGAATAGAAAAGAGTGCTGTTGAATGAACATATGCCCTTTTAGTGAGAAATTGAATTCAAAGAATTACGCCCTTTCTTTAACTGAACATGTCTAGAGAGAAAATTAAATGAAGTATCCAAGAGACTTAAAAGTGATTAAATCTGCAAGGAACAAAACTTCAAAGTAAGAATTTGGTGAAATGCTGAAAATGTTTGTCAGCTCTATAAGCTTCTTAGTTGGGGAACTTTAAGGTCAGAGCTTTCTGATGGGAGAGAACATTATTATGTTTGACCAGGGGAGAGCGTGCTGATGTGTGGAAGGCCAGGCAGGGACTGCTTACCTTCACGAGTGTCCTTTTGCTCACCCCGTCTTTGAAAGAATTTTAATGGAAAGATACCAAGACAGATTTTTTAAATGAGATTATTGGGCAACTCTGTGCAACTGCCCGCTTTTTAATCTCTTCATGACAGCTCAGAAATGAGAAGTCTCTTATCATCTGTCATTCCTTCTAAATCCCATGTGCCCCTTGACATACACACCAACTGTTTTTCCTCAGAAACCTGAGCTTCTGCTGCCATCGTCTTAATGTCTGTGTAATTGAAGGAGTGTGACTGTGTGCTTTAGTACTTTGGTGTAAGTGTTTACTTACATTTAAATGACTGAGGCTGATAAGTTTCACCCTCTAATTAAACAAGACTGTCTGGGTTTGGTTGTTGAAGACGCAACTTATTAAACCAACAGCTGGGCAGGAAACCAGATAAGGAGCCGTTAGCGCTATCAGTGCTAAATTGGTCCCTCTCAGTGGGACGTTTGAGGATTAAATGGAGATTGTTTTTAACATGTCTGCCTAATAGTCAACAAAATAGGGGTTGGACGATGAGATTTCATTTGACATTGCCTACTCACTGAATAAGAAAAATGTAATGCTATAAATACCAAAGCTAGTACCTAGCTCAATCAGCTAATAGAAAAGCCTTATATATACAGTCTATGAGAAAAGCATATGATTTAGTAACATATTAAAGAAAAGTGACTAATACATACAAACTCAAACTAACCCAGCATATATGAAATACATTTAATATAGTTAATAAGAAAAATGAACAGATTAACTGAAAATGAACACGTATTTGAGATATTTAAAGAAATTATTTTTATTTTTCAGGTAAATACAATGATATGACATAAATGTCCATGGAATTGTCAAATGCAGCCACATGCTATGGGAAACTTTAATTACAAGATACATATTTACAAATTAAGTAATAATTGTTAAAGGAGAGGTGTCATGGCCATTTCCACTGATCATAATTCCATTGTTGAGGTCTACTAAAATAGATTTATATTGTGCATTTTTCCAAACTCACATTGGTTTCGCATACAGCATCTCTGTAAACTACGTGTATTCACTGAATTTCACTCTCTGCCTTTAACGGCTCGTTGTAGCTCCAATAGCTCCAGCCCCCACCCTCCCTGTGAGCACAGTGTGCTCTGATTGGTCGGGACGTTGTGAATCGAGCTGAGCTCCGTGGAGGTGTTGTTTCCTTGTTTAGGATACACAGCGAAACACAGCCAAACTCATCCTGAGCACACACAAACTCACATCCGAAGTAAAAACAATAAGTGTGGCTTGATATTGAGTAAGAAAAAGGTTGATAAACGCTGTGAGAATGGGTCTGCAGAGAGAATTTTGCCGCGATCCCAACTGTCTGTTATCAGCCTGCAGCCAGGGAGGAGAAATCAGCAGAGCTGCCTGCTCCCTGCACACAGATGTGTGTGTGAGGAAGTCCGTGGATTGGTCAATTTGGACCAATCAGCGGGGGCTTAACGTAACGGCTCCGCGGACGTAACGTAACGGCTCCACGGATTGGTCCATTTCGTTCCGGGTACATCTTGACATCATGCGGTACCCGGAAGAATCAAATGGACAATGACGTATCTCCAACGAGGCGTTTTGGGGAGGTATTTTCTGTGTTAGAGTTTTACTCGCTATAGGGTGTACTTTGAGGGTTTTGACTCTGCACACCGTTTACATGCATAAAAACCTTCATAACACACAAAGGGACGGGTAATAACCGGAAAAGCATGACACCTCTCCTTTAAAACATGCTTTTACACGATTTACCATTTTGTACAGTTTCAGTTTCAACCATAACATAACTTATCTTTTTAGTTTGAACAAAACAATCAGTGCACATATGCTGAGCCCTAAGACCAGGCCTGCAAACAGTTTTGAAAGCATTTTCCTTAATTTCTGTTTTCCCAACAGTTCTCCCTCTGCCCAGGGGGAACACTTCTACACCAGGGTCATGACCTTCATGGAGGCCGGCTGGAACCGACGGATCTTCTTCTTCAGGGCTCGGGAAGCTTTGATGCGGCAGGCTGATGGTTCGGGGCGTGGGAGCTGCTGGAGGGGCTGTCCAGCTGCGGTGGGCCCCAGAGCAGCCTCAGCCCACACCAGGCCCTTTTCCTCCTGGCTTCCCACCTGGTCCTCCTCATCCAGGGACAAGCTGCTGTCAGAGTCCGAGAAAGACTGGGAGCTCTGGCTGGACTCGCTATCACCAAAGCGGTTGGTGGTGTTATCGCTCATCTCCCCCTCGCTGCTTTCTGCAATGGTGGAGTGAAACAGTGAGGCGCATTCGGCTGAGTACTCAGACTCACATCTGGGTGGGTAGTGGCAAGACATGACGAAGGCTGCTGGAGGGTATCTGGCATTGAGATTTTGGAGGAAAGAGTTAGAGGAAATGGATGATTGGAAGGGGCGAGGAGGTCCAACCCACTGGCCGGTTCTGGCACTCATACTGCGGACCATCTTCATGCTTCCATGTGCCTGAACCTGGGACTCTTTGGACCTCTGACGCTGAACATACGAGGCCTGGAGCATTTCCACTTCCGACTGCCATTTGGCCGCCCCCTGCCTCCTCTTCCTCTGCTCCACAGGCTGATCATACTCTGGGCACTGCATTTTGCGGCTTCTGCTGGACTTTGTGACAGCAGGGATTGGATGTGGCTTTGCATGGACCTTGTAGGTGTTCATGAGTCCAGGACTACAGTGGCTGGAGTCAGAGCCTGAGCCCTGTATGCGCTCCTCTGTGTAAGAAAGGCTTGTTTTCTGGGTCACTTTTCCTTTCCCTGATCTTCTCTGTTCCCCCTTTGCTGCACCGCTGCCCTCTCTGGTCTTTTCACCAGAGGAGTAGCCATGTTGCTGCTTGATTGCTCGAGGCTTCTCTGTGTTTTTCCTTTTCAGTTTCAGGGCTTTGGTTTTACGGTCCGCCTGTCTCACCTTGACCCTCTGTGACCCAGCAGGGACAAATTCAGCGTGGACAAACTCAGGGGAAGCTGTGGGGGCAGTGTGAACCTGAAAGGTTTGACTCTCCTCCGCGCTCGAGCTGTGGGCCATCGTAGATCTTTGCCTATAGCCGTTCCTCTCTTGTGGCATTGACCCTAGATGATCCCCAAATCTATTCTCTGAATTGCTTCTTGCTCCACTAGCATATTCTCCTCTGGGTTTACCATTCTTCCTCAGAGATAAAGTGGTGACCTCATCAGAGCTGTACTCCCTACTGGCAACAGGATAGGAGTATCGGTATGAAAGCTCAGGGGCTTTCGCTGACTGATTGTGGTGAGTGTTATCAGCTGGCTCTTGGCTGGGGAATGTCTTGCAGTGTCTCTTCTGGTTGCTATCATGTGGGGTAATGTTTGTGGTCTGTGCTGGAGGAGGCTTCACCACAGGCACCTCTTTCTGAGACACTTCAGGGAATGCAGTTAAAACCTCAGTGGGCCTCCTGTGATAGTCACTGTGTCTCTGCAGAGTCTCTGAGTCACTTTGGATTTTGCTTGAGCTGCGCAGGAGGAGCTTGTCAATGTAACCCAGGGTCTTGGTGTCATAAAACATTTGCGCCCTCTGGAGGGTTTCAGAACCATTTGCTTGGCCCTCAAGAAGTCTAGGTGTGGCTGCGTCACCCCCTTGGGAAAAGATTGGGCTCTGAAGAGCCACAGCGTGCAGGGGGCTGGGGTAGTGGTACACTTCCGTCCCACTGCGGGACACCAGGTTGCTGTGGAACTTGGGGTCCACTGTGGAGGTCTTTAGGTTTGAGCACATTGGGGGTTTCTTTGCATCGCCAGGTCGGTAGTGGCTCAGTCCTTGGGCCATCATCCTATCGAGATCACCTAATAAACACAAACACAAAAATTTGATTAGCCTTTCAAATCGAAACTCTTGCGAGATGCTAGCGGTTGGACAATTGACCTTGAATGGACAAGGCAACAAGTCTCACAAGAGTTTGCGCATCTCAGGCTACCAGCTAGACACAACCCTAAAAAATGACATGTGCACGTTGAGTAACAACAGTAGTGTGATTCCCATTATTACATGAGAGATTGAGAGCTTTTGTTACCTGTTGACACAGGCCTTGGGCGAGCCTTTTCGGTGCTTGCTCTGATCCTGCTGCTGCCTAGATGAAGGCCGGTGGCCCGCGGAGGGTTGGGCTGGGAAGTGCTCTCATCAGCAGAACGCCGCCGGCATACGTCTACTTGTAAGGGTTGGCCGATGTGGGAATTAGCAGGGCTTGTGGGAAGGAGGAGAAGGCTCGTCTGGGAGGAAGACAGACACTCGCTGTACACAGAGGTGCAGGAGTTGGACAATGAGCAAGAGCCACCATCGCTTAGCTCATAGAAACCTGGAGAAAGAGCAGGAAAAAAATGTGTATTATTAGTAAAATGTGTATATATAAAGAGTATTTTTCTCAGCATCGTGTGATAGAATCTTGGGTGGATGCTTTATGGCTCGTTATAAAGCAACCGTAGGGCTTTTAGTGCCAGTGTTTGCTTACACACCTGAACTTGGCCTGCTGTCACTCTCCAGCTGGTCTGTGGAAGCCTTGTTCACATCCAGCTTCAGCTCACTGATCTGTTGATCCAGCTGCTGCAAGTGAGATTTAAGGCCTACGTCCTGTTTACGAAGACGAGACTATAAAACAAACAACACACAACATTTTAGCCAACTTCCCAAAAGTGTGTGATACAACCTGAAACAAATGGCAAGCCTGCTTTGATTTGGAAGGGAGTTCACGAATGATTATGGTTATGCAATAGAGTTACTCATGCACAAAAATACAGGTGATTGCACAGAATTTCTTTGAATAAGTGAAACTTCCTGGTAAATGCACGTTAGCAACTCTATAATTACATTAAGAAGGGGCCTGTTGTTCGGATAAAGATGCTCTAATGTACAGCTATCAGAAAAACAAAGGAGCCTCAGCTGTGGCTGATGATTAACCCCAGCAGGACATGGGGGAGCATGGAAGAAGCAGTGGTGGGTAACTCATTTCTCCCCCACAGCGAGGGCCTGGCCATTGTGTAAACTAATAGAGGAGGAAAGCTTGGGGGTTGGGATGAAGGACTGTTTGCTTTGCAGCTCGGGCTGGGCATTTACTGTTACAGTGGCTCTTAAAATAAGGGCTCGGGGTCATTGCCTGCAAAATGCACTATTTACTTTTTATTCTCTTATAAAATAGAGTTAGTTTGGTTGACTTCGTTCAGACTGTGGCAAAAAATAAGCTATTGGAAAGTGTTTTTGGGCCATTAAGGCTATTTCTAGCTGGTGGTGTTTTCTTAAACATGGGGTGTTGTGAGTGTGCACCATTTTGCACGCATGTAAAACAAAACCATATGTTGTCATATACTTTACAGTGTATCTTATTCCCAGTTTTACTTAAATTCAAGCCGAGCACCTTAATCCCTGCACTTCCTGTGGTTATAACAGCAGCCTTCATGGAAAAAGCTTGTCACGGAAAACTCAGCCAGTTGTTTCAAACACTCAGGGGCCTCTCATGACTGACTGTCATTCATAGCAAATGAACCACCTTAAAAAACGCACCAGGTTTTTTTTGTTAGATTCCCTGGCATTAGTGGTTAATGATTGAGGTTTGCCCCCCTGCAGTCTGCACATGCACTGTGTGCGCGCACATACACAACTCAAAGTCCTCTTGGTCCTGCAGTGAACCTTGATTTATGACACCTATCTTACTTCCTACCCCCAGCTGAGATCATGAAAGTGTGACTGCTAATAATTGAAGACGGAATGCACATGAGCATCAGCTGACTGACGACTTTATTCCAAGGATAATTAACAATTAAAAAAAGTTAATGAGAATGTGTGCAATCATTTTAAAAATATATAATAAAGGCACAATTATGGTGACACCAACCAACTGCCTGCAGATTAGTATCTCTTGAGAGGCATTTTAATGATTTTGTTTTATGGCTTTATAAATGGCTTCCTACCAGCTGTTGCTTCAGGGTTGTTAGGGTTGCCTCCAGCCGCTGTTCCTCGGCCCCCATCACCATGAGACTCTCCGGGCCGGTGTGGGCAGCAGTGATCGGCTCCTCTCGGTCCATCCTCAGAGCCCAGCTCACCATGTCGCTCTGTCTGTCCTTCAGCAGATGAAGCTCCTGCAGCCCGGCCAGAGCAGCCTGCAGCCTCTCCCCGACCCTGCTGCGGTCCACTCCGGCTGCAGCGCTCATCATCCCCGCACAAGACCCCTTCCTGCTCAGCATGCTGAAGAGCGGTGTAAGGGCATATCCAGAAATAAGATGCTGTTAAAGAAACCGTCCTCCGCTCAGACTTCGTTAGTCACTGTCTTGCTAGTGTTGCTGCTGCTGCTGCTGCTGCTGCTGCTGTTGGCCAGTTTGGTTTATAAACTACCTGTTAGAATAAATGTTGAGCTCAGAGGAGAGCCGGAGCCCCTCCCACAGACCAAACGGCCCTCCTCCTGATTGGCTGGCTGCTGAGACCCAACATCTGGTACTAATCTCCCCCATTCAAGTCCTCACTGAAGCTGCCCAGGCATGTACTAAATTAATCTGCATAATACCACATGGCATGATGGGCATATTATTATGCTATTTACACTATTCTTTTGTTGTTGTTATTCTAGTATTAGCCTAGGCTACCCAGAGATATGTGATCAACTTTGAGTATGTAGGAGATTCCAGGGCAATAATATAGCATGGCCTCTTATAATCATGAAAACACTCACCACATAAAAACAAACAATTCAATTACTTGAACAGCAAGAAATCCATATTGTTTTGTACAAGGGTTGTGTTTGAGGCTATAATTCCAGTTCTGTACACACTCAACTTTTAAATCACATTTCCAATAAGCGTAGCCTACATCAATCACTTTTTGTATTTGTCAATATAACATAGTCCTTGATTTAAAGTTACTCCTTAACAAACTGTTTTAGTAGAAGTTTATCTATTTTGTCTTGGAAATAGAGATTAGAGAGATGTTAGGGACAGTATAGACCAGTAATAGATGAATGACGCCCCCTGGTGGTTGTAAAGAATACCACATTTTGTTGACCTGCACATGGGTTTGAGCAACATTAAAGGTCCCATGTCATGGCCATTTATACTGATCATAATTCCATTGTTGAGGTATACTAAAATAAATGTATATTGTGCAATTTTCCAAACTCACATTGGTTTCTCATACAGCATCTCTGTATAGTATGTGTATTCACTCTCTGTCCTAAATGGCTTGTTGGAGCTCCTGCCCCCCCCTCCCTATGAGCCCAGTGGCCGTCTGCGAGACAGCGAGACACAGCGAAACCCAGCCCGAAACCAGCCCGAACACACACACACACACACACACCCGCAGCCTGGCTGGGAGTTTGTGTGTGTGCTCACACACCGACTCACAGCCTCGCCGCGTCCCGCCGTCTCAGGGAGGAGAAATCGGCGGAGCTGCAGCTGAGAAAAGATTGAGTGTGTGTGTGTGAGGAAGTAACGGCTCCGCGAACGTAACGTAACGGTTCCAGGGATTGGTCCATTTGGACCAATGGGTCCATTTGGGTATGGGCACGTCACTGTACCCAGGAAGAAAAAGAGAAATCTCCAACGAGGCGTTCTGGGTCAGCATAGACAGGTATTTTCTGTGTTAGAGTTTTACTCGCTACAGGGTGTACTTTGAGGGTTTGTGACTTTGCAGACCGTTTACATGCATAAAAACCTTCATAACACACAAGGGGACGGGTAATAACCGGAAAAGTATGACATGGGACCTTTAAGGTTTTGCTGAGGTGTCACATTTAAATGCAAGACAACACAAAGAGTGAGTAGGGAAATGGCCAGTGTAATCTGAATTTGAGTGACACTAAAAACAGAAACAAAATTACTTTATAATGTTTCTTAATTATTAAAATGTGATAACAGAACCGTATTTCAGTGGTTGAATGTAAGAGAAACATTAAGAATTATAGCGATATATAATTGTTATGGACCAGATGAGGAAAGATCTACCAATAAAGACACCTATAGTCATGCATTGAAAGATGTGTTTGAATTATCTGATTGGACGCTGAACATCAGGTCAATGGTATCCGCATTTAGTGTCAGTGTCCAGTGAATTTACCCTTTGTGATCAATACAATATTATGATCTAATATGACAAATCATCATTATCTGCCGACTATGTTTTTTTAATTATTATTCTTAATCTGCAAAAAAGGTGTCAGGGATCAAGCAGAAAGGCAACAGGACAGAGGAATTGTTTGAAGAAACAGTTTTCTTTATTAACCCACACATTGAAAAAACAAGTCTTCAATATAGGCCTATGAAGTGGTCAACAGAAAATAACTGTATTAAATATGACAGCAACTAAACAGGTGTTAAGTGAACAAACCAACCTGCCAACATTACAAAATTGAACATATATAGTGGCATGGCCAAACCAAATAGAAAAACAAAGGGTAATTAAAATGAAGAAAATACAAAAAGGCCCAATCCCAAACCGCCCCCAACACCCTACCCCTACACACTACCCCTCCGTTTGCGCATTCGCGCCCTATGGTTCGCGCGGAGGGTCCGCCAGATTAAGTGCTGTTCCAAACCAACGAGTGTGGAGCGGTGTGGAGGGGGAGTGGGCTATCAAGCCCTCAAACAGCGAGTCTGCAGTGTATTCTGTACGTAGTCTGTATAGAGTGGCGAAGTCCCTCCCCTTCCGGTTGAGCCCCATGGGACCTTATTTCGGAAAAGTTATGCATTGAAGTCAATGGAGAGAGAAAGATTATCTTTCAATCCCGTTTGAATTGTGCCACGAATTACACATATGATGTTTGTCAATTTAAAAGATAATTTTGCAAGTCAAAAAAAAAAAAATGTGTCGTAAAACTGTGAAGTAACACATTTGTTTGTGTGAAACGCTCAATGAACTACATCTCTGGTCAACAACACACGTCACCAAGATGGCCGTCACTACTGTCTTGTCAACAAAACGATTGACTTCCCTCACTATCACCACAATGAAACACGTCCTGAAGAATGTCATGCAAAGCTGCCTGCCTGCCTTCGATTCTCTCTGAACTGCCTGGTCGTTTTAATGTTTAATGTCAACCATTTGTGCAGATAGCATGAAGTAGAGAAGATCGCCGATGCTAACGTTAGCGTTAGCATTTCTCCCCCGGGCTTAAATGGTGTATTATAGAATGATCACACCGGTGACAGTACTATTCAAAGGGTTCACGAAATATGACTACTACTCTTACTGTTTAACATTTTGGGTTACTTAAAGTTACTTCATGTTAAGGCTAATAAAAATGACAAGGCTGTAATGCGAACTAACGTGCTAGCTACTAGCTAGGTAGCTAACTTGATCAAGCCACTCCTGGTCCTTTCATCAGACGGGAAGCAAAAGAACGAGCAAGACCCATTGCTGGTATAATAACAACCTGGTACTAAGCACACAGGCATCTTGTTAAAGTTATCTTATCTTAGCCAGCGCCATATAGATAGATTATATCTATATTGCGCTGATCTTAGGTATCTGAATGGTGGAGGAAAACAATTGTGACATCACTTACGCGACTCTGGGATTTGTAGTCTTTCTAGTTACGTATTTTTCATAGTCTTATATTTCAACAGTTTTACGACAAACTGTGACTTTTTTTACATGGAAATTATTTTTTAAGATTGACAAACATCATATGTGTAACTCATGGCACAATTCAAACGGGATCGAAAGATACGTTTTCTCTCCCATTGACTTCAATGCATAATTTTTCCGAAATAAGGTCCCATTACCCGGAAGTAAGTGGGCGTGACTTCGCCACTCTATAGAGAGGCGAAGTTCCGCCCATCTACTTCCGACCCATGGGACCTTATTTCGGAAAAAATATGTATTGAAGTCAATGGGGAGAGAAAGATTATCTTTTGATCCCGTTTGAATTGTGCCACGAATTACACATATGATGTTTGTCAATCTTAACAAATAATTTCCATGTCAAAAAAGTCACAGTTTGTCGTAAAACTGTTGAAATATAAGACTATGAAAAATACGCAACTAGAAAGACTACAAATCCCAGAATCCCGGTCCCGCATGCTGGCTCTTACGAACCGACTAACTCCCCTTGTGTGTATGTACAGCTCTCAACATGCCCAGACTTGTAGTGATTTTCACCTCTTTTAATACTCTCCGCCTCATTCTGAAAGAAAGAGGTGAAATGTGCCAACGTGACAGCTGTCTTGGTGTGTGGTGCGAGACGGGAGATGTAGTTCATTGAGCGATTTCACACAAAAAAAGTGTTACTTCACAGTTTTACGACACATTTTTATTTTTTTGACTTGCAAAATTATCTTTTAAATTGACAAACATCATATGTGTAATTCGTGGCACAATTCAAACGGGATCAAAAGATAATCTTTCTCTCTCCATTGACTTCAATGCATAACTTTTCCGAAATAAGGTCCCATGGAGCTCAACCGGAAGGGGAGGGACTTCGCCTCTATTTATATAGAGTACATGAAATAATGTCAGGTGTAAGGCAAATAAACAGTTTACTATTTAAATCGAAAGGGTCAAAAGGTGTTAATTGTTGATGTGGTTGACTGCAACTGAAATGAGGTAACACTGTTGGAGGTGAGGGTGCAGTGTTATTGCTTTACCCTGCGAGGCTATGGACATCACAGTAAGTATCAAAAAATGAATACTGGAGTAAAGTACAATATCTGCCTGATCCTTATTTTAAAGTGGAGTGTAAGGTTGCAGAGAATGGAAATACTTAAGAAAATAATTTACTCAAAATTGCTCTTAAGTACAGTCCCTCAGTACTTCATTTAGTTGAGTACTTTCCACCACTGCTTTGTTGTACTCAATGGCTGAAACAAGTCCACAAAGTGAAATGTATGACAGTACAATTGCAAATTACTTAAGATTTTTCTACAAAAATGAACTTCAGTGTCTAAGTTATAAGGTTATAAGTGCCAAAATAAAAAGATACCGACCATGGTTTGTTTAAAAGCTCCTACAAACTGTATTTAATGTCAAGAATCAACAGATGTATCTTAACTATAAAATGTTTTTTAAAGTTAACATTTATTTATTTACTTTGACTAAATATTGTTATCAGTGTAAAATCAGTGCAACTACTTTGCAATATGCCTATTTCAGCCATTTAGATCCTATGCCTCATAAAATCATGCCACTGATCTCATTTGTTCATTCTTTTAATCTCTTCCTCACAACAATATGACTCATTATTTTTACTTTCCACCTCAGCTGTGATTCATCTAGATGCGACCAGGAAGCATTTGCTCTCGTTGTCAATAATCTGATAACAAATGAAAATGAGAATGATTGAGCCCTCATCATAGAATCAACATGAGGTAGGCTGCAGACTA